TATGATTCCTATATTAGGAAACGGATCGGCAGAGGAACTGATGAAAACCAATTTCTATCAAAAGATTAAGTGGCACCTTAATTGAATGCCATTTTTTATTGGCATCATAAATGTTCACGCTAAATTTCTGGCACTTTGATGATGGTAGGCGACTGATCCCTAATGTTTTATTAGTAAAATTCAGACTAATTGATATTCTGTAGGAGTGGAACTTATAGTAGAAGAGACGAATACTGATGGAAAGGGAGGAGGAGGAGGAGGAGGAGGAGGAAGAAGAAGAGATGGTGGTGGAGGAGGAAAAGAGGGTAGGAGGTAGGAGGAGGAGAAGAGGAAGAAGGATGGTGGTGGAGGAAGAGAGGAGGTAGGAGGAGGAGGAAGAGGAAGAAGAGATGGTGGTGGAGGAGGAAAAGAAGGTAGGAGGAGGAGGCGGAGGAGGGTAGGAGGTAGGAGGAGGAGGAGGGAAGGAGGTAGGAGGAGGAGGAAGGAGAATGGTGGTGGAGGAGGAAAAGGAGGTAGGAGGAGGAGGAGGAAAAGGAGTTGGAGAGGAGGAGGAGGAGGGAAAGGAGGTAGGAGGAGGAGAAGGAGAAGGAGGAGGGAGGAGGAAAAGGAAGTAGGAGAGAGGAAGAGATGGTGGTGGAGGAGGGAAAGGAGGTAGGAGGAGGAGGAAGAAGAGATGGTAGTGGAGAAGGAAAAGGAGGAGGAGGAGGAAAAAGGAGGTAGGAGGAGGAGGAGCACATTTACTTAATCACTGTAAGATAGTCTATATTGATTAATGTCTTAAACTACATTAAGCCAGCATGCGTACAATTCTAAAAAAATATAAATCAAATAAAAGTAAGAAACAAATCGATAAAGTATATAAAGAAATATAAAGAAATTTCTAAGAAGCATGAGAAGAAAAAATAGAGGTATGATAACAAATAGAAAAAGACCATTATAAAAACAAACTTTAAAAATCTGACTTAAAACAAATTGAAATAGAAAATAAGAAATCTTTTGTATAAAAATAAATGGAAATAGAAAAATCTAAGTATAAAAACAAAAATAGATAAATACACAAAACATAAAGAAATCCAAAAAAAGACATAAACAATAAATCCCAAATCTAAAAATTTCGAGAAAAAAAATCAAAATAGAAAAACACTCTTTTCTTTGTTTTTTCCTTGTTCTCCTTCCTTCCCTCTTCCTCCTTCCTCTCTTCCTCTCTTCTCCCTTCCTCCCTTCCTTCCTTCCTCCCTTCTCCCTTCCTCTCTTCTCCCCTTCCTCCCTTCCTCTCTTCCTCCCTTCATCTCTTCTCCCCTTCCTTCTCTCCTCCTTCCTCTCTTCCCCCTCCTCCCCCTCCCCTCCCCTCCCCTCCCTCCCTCCCTTCCCTCCCTCCCTCCCTCCCTCCCTCCCTCCCCTCCCTCCCTCTCGCTTCACCACCCTTCCCCCCCTTTTCCAGAACCGCCTCGCCCAGCTGGAGACCCACGTGCACCAGCAGCAGGAGGAGGTGCGCGCCCGGGATGCTCGCCTGCAGGAGCACGACGCCCTCGCTGCCCAGAGGGAACAGGAGCTCCACAAGGCCGCCGCCGACCTCGCCAACCTCCGGGAGACGGTCAGCCAGAGGGATTCCACGGTGATGGAGCTGCAGGTGGGTTGGGGGTGGGGGATAGAAGGGGAGGGGGGAGTGAGGGTGGGGGATGGAGGGAGGATAGGGATAGAGGAGGGGGTAGAGGGAGGATAGGGAAAGGGAGGATAGAGGGAGGATAGGGATAGAGGGAGGATAGGGGAAAGGGGTGGGGGATAGAGGGAGGATAGGGGAGAGGGGTCGGGATGGAGGGATGATAGTGGAGAGAGGATGGGGGATAGTGGGATGATAGGGGAGAGGGGTGGGGGATGGGGATGAGGATGGGGGGGAGAGGGGTGGGGATGGATGGGGAGGGGGTGGGGGATGGAGGGATGGTAGTGATACGGGTGGGGATGGAGGGAGGAGGGGGAGGGCAGGGAGAGGGGTGGGGGATGGAGGGAGGATAGGATGGAGGATAGGGGGGGGTCGGGGATGGAGGGAGGATAGGATAGAGGGGAGAGGGGTGGGGATGGAGGGAGGGGGAGAGGGGTGGGGGATGGAGGGATGATAGTGGAGAGAGGATGGGGGATAGTGGGATGTAAGGGAGAGAGAGAGGGAGGATGGAGGAGAGGGGTGGGGATAGAGGGAGGATGTGTAAGGGAGAGGGGTGGGGATAGAGAGAGGATAGGAGAGAGTCGTGGAGGATAGCGATGGGGATAGAGGGAGGAAGGGGAAGAGAGGGAGGATAGGGGAGATATGGAGGATAGGGAGAAGGGAAGGGGAAAGGGGTGGGGATAGAGAGTGGGGTTGGGAGAGGGGGGAGGGGGAGGAGAAAGAGAGGGAGTGAAAGGGAAAGGAGAATGAGAGGGAATGGGGGAGGGGGTAATGGAGGAGGGAGGGAGTGAAAGGGGTAGGGGAAGGGGAGTGAGCGGAAAAGCGAGAAAGGAAGAAGAGAAAGAAGAGAAAGATAGATAATAGAGAAAAAAAGAGATGTGTAGATATAAATAGTTAAAAGCGATAGCTAAATAGCGAAATAAAGAGGATGAAAAAGAAAATAAGAAATAGAAAAAAAATGATGAGAATACGAAAGAAGAAGAAACACGAAGACGAAAAAGAAGACGAAGACAAATAAGAAAAAGAAGAAGAGGAAGAAGAAGAAGAAGAAGAAGCAAGAAGAGAAGAGAAGAAGAAGAAGAAGAAGAAGAAGAAGAAGAAGAAAGAAGAAGAAGAAGAAGAAGAAGAAGAAGAAGAAGAAGAAGAAAACGAAAAGAGAATGAAAAAAAAAACCTACAAAGGAGAGACAAGGAGACTGACGGACCGAAAGGCGGATAAAGAGAGAGGCAGAAGACGTATATGGAAGAAGAGATAAAGCAAGAAAGACAATAAAAAAGGCAAAACGAGAAAGTAATCGACCGCAAGCATACAAACACGTCCCGATAAACACGAAAATGTACAAGCAGAGAAAAGGCGATTAGCATAAGATAAATCCGCGAACAATGCATGGGAAAATCTGATAAAGAGAGAGAGAAATGGGGAAACTGATGATAGTTGCATTTTTTTTTTTTTTTTTTTTTTATCATTTCCTTTTTTAATCTTTCTCTTTTTGGCGAATAGTGGAAAGTCTTTCAGATGATAAAGACGAGATAGGCAGATAGGGAATTAACGATGATTCACCGACCTGTGACGTCACACGCCAAGACGCGGAATTAGAAAATGATTTATTTCGTATAAGAAGGTTATATTGCGCCTAAGTCCATCTCCGGCTGAAATTTATGGCCTTTGGGGTGGAAAACGAAAGACGCGGATATTTATTTCGTCTTTTTCCATCTCCGGGCTTCGTTAATTTGCACAAGCTCATCAGCCAAAATGCGAAAATGAGAAATAGGAAGAAGGAAAAACATGAAAAGACTGGAGAAAAGAATTAAGGGAAGAAGGATAAAAGAAATGAAGGAATGGAAATGAAGATGATTAAGGGAAGGTGAGAAAATAATGGAAAAAATTGTGATTTGAATAAGAAATTACGATAAGATCTATTGAATAAAAAAAAACTGTATTTGCGAAATGAATCAGATAAAGTTAAAGATGTAAAAAAAATATATTATTTTAAGGAACAATGGAATATATAAAAAAATGAAGATGAAGATAAGATAATAAGGATAATAATAAGTGAAAATATATATGAAAAACATAAAAAAAAGACAAATAGAAAAAATAATAAATCGAAAAACAGACACAAAGCGCGCCAAATATTTTAAAAAAATTTAAGAGAGAGAGAGAGAGGAGAGAGAGAGAGAGAGAGAGATTACGTACCATCTTCTTTTCCAGATAAATTGACTTATCCTCGAGTGTTTTCCTTATACAAATAAAACCTCTTTCTTCCCCCGTGCATTTACATCCCCTGATTATCGGCCATATTTGTCTGTTTTAGGAAATTTATCTGATTCTTTGGCCAAGATTCCTGCTGGCGGAGGTCGTTGCGGCTGCCGATGTGCTTCTGTTTACTGCTCTGCGATTTTGTTTCTTTTTGCGCTTTTGTGTCTTTTATCTCTTTCTTTCTTCTCTCTTGATTTTTTGACGTTGTAGGGTTATTTTTAAGGTTTATTTAGTTTTTTTGGGGTGTTCTTTTTTTCTTTTTTTATTTGGTATTTTTGTTTTGTTTTTTTTCGTATCATTTTCGAGAAATTCTTATCTTTTTTTTTTTGCTTCTCTCCTTTCTCCTTTTTCTTCTTTTTTTCTAACTTTCCGAATTCTTCATCCTTCTTTTCCTTTTTCGTTTTCTTCTTCCTTTTCTTCTTCTTTCTCTTCTTCCTCTTCCTAATTTACCGCAATTATGCTGTATTTTCCTCTCTCCTTCCTCCACTCCTTTTTCATAAATCTTTCCCTCTCTCTCCTCTCTGTTCTTCCCTTCCTTCCCTTTTTCCCCTTTCTCTCGTGTCTTCCCTCTTCTCCCTTGCGTATTTATGTTTTATTAATGACGTTACTTTCCATTTGCATATTCACATTCATCTGCATTCTTCTTCCCCCATGTTCTATTTTTGATAAATGACGCTAACTCGCCATTTACCGTTGCCAGTACAAGTTTGCTTATTTTTTTTTTTTTTTTACACCCGTCTCTCTCTTTCTCTCTCTCTCTCTCTCTCTCTTCCTTCTTTCGTCTTTTTCTTCTTTTTTTGGTTCGTCGATTTGTTTTTCCTTTCGGTTCACGGTCGACCGGTCTGGCTCGCCCTCCGCTCCGCCCTGCTTATCCTCGCCGATGTTTCGCCCTTGATAACAGACCGATAAAAAGACACGAATTCCTTGAAGCGTCACGTTCCCGACACTTCCCGGGGGCTTGGGAGGATCTTCGAGAATATTCTGAGGTGCGGGGAGCTTTTGTTTTTTCATTTTCCTTGTCGTTTAAGCTTTATTTGCCTCTGAAAGGGAAGTATTGTAGGGGGTTTGGCTTCTGGAGGGAATGGCGGCGCCGAGGAGGTAGCGTTCGCGTACGGGTGGGGATTTGAATCCGCGTGAATCCGGTCCGGTTCGCGCCTTGTGGATCGGGATCGACGCGGAGTGAAAAGGTGGAAAGGGAGGGTGGAAAGAGATCAGAAAAAAAGGAAGAATTAAGTAAATGTATTCATATCCCCAAACCAGAATGTATGAAAAGGGACCGGATTCAATTTGCAGTCTAGTTCCACTTTAACCCCGAATCAAGCGTTCGCGGATTTGTCTCGACACGTCCACACGACTTCAATCCAGTGCGCGGACCGGGAAAGAGAAGACGGGAGAAATTTTAACAAAAGAGAGAAAGAAAAAAAGAAAAGAAAAAAAAAAAAAAGGACGTGGAAGAAATTGAATCGAAATAGATATACACATAAAATTTTCTCACGGCAAAAGCTCGTATTGTACTGTCGCAATGTGGACCTTCCATCCATCCAACCCCCCTTTACCCCCCTTTCCCCCCTTTCCCCCTCTCCCTTTCCCCCTCCCTCTCTCACCTCTCCCACTCTCCTCCTTCCCCCCTACCCCCACCCATCCTCAAACCCCTCCCCCAACACCCCCCCCTCTCCGAACTCTTCCCTCTCCCACCCTCCTTATCCGCACCCCTCCCCCATTTCCACACCCTCCTCCTCACACCCCTCCTCCTCCCTCCCCCTAACTCTCCCCATCCTCCTCCACCCTCACCCCCACCCCGCTTCTCTGGACACCCGAGATTCGAAATAGAGATATATCCGAGAAGGTTACGAAACAAAAGGTGTGCGAATAACAAAAAGGTGTGCGAATTACGATACGTTTCGAACCCCGTCTCGAGCTTCGTTCCCGCGGGATCGAACGACGCTCTCGTGAGTCGGTTGTCCTCGGTGTAGGGCGGGGCGAGGGGGGGAGGGGGGGAGGGGAGGAGTGGGGGAGGAAGGGGAAGGGATGGGGCGGGGAGGAAAGAGGAAAAAGAAAGAGAATATGGGGGAGAAAAAAGGAGGGAGAGAAAGAGAGAGGGAGACCAAGAATGGAGGAAATGAGTGAGAGAGAATGGGGGCCGAATGAATGGAGAACGAGGAAGAAAGGAGGAGGAGCAGAAATGAAAGAGAAAGAGAGAGTAAGAAAGACATAGAATAAGAAAAGAAAGGGGTTAGCAGAGGCAGAGAGAAGAGGAAAGAAAAAAACGAAAATTAAGAAAGTGGGAGCAAGAAAAACCAAGGAAGAAAGAGGAGAAAAGAAATGAAGAAAAAAAAGATCATAAGAGAGAGAAGAGAAAAAAAAAAAAAAAAAGAAGAGTGGGGAATACATTGAGAAGAGACCGAAAAACAAAAAATAAACAATAATAATAACAACCGTTAACCGGTGTGATAAAACATCATGAAGATTTACCAACATGACTAAAACCTCAAGCATGTGAGTGCGGGCGAACGAAGAGAGAGAGAGAGAGAGAGAGGAGAGAGAGAGAGAGAGAGAGAGAGAGAGAGAGAGAGAGAGAGAGAGAGAGAGAGAGAGAGAGAGAGAGAGAGAGAGAGAGAGAGAGAGAGAGAGAGAGAAGAGAGAGAGAGAGACAGAGATAGAGAAAGAGAGAGAGACAGAGAGAGAGAGAGAGGAAGAAAAGCGAAAAAAAA